CACCAATCTACTTTCATTCTCCCATACATTCCAGCTCATGCAATCTCACATTCTTTCTGAAATCTCTTGGCACGTGCACAGCCTCAGATTGTCTGAAACACACACACCCTCTCACATTGTCATACATGCTCTCATATACATAGTCTCATGTGTAATCCCTTGAGCACACGACCATTTTGACTTTACTGTGGACATTCTCACAATCGTCTGACAGACATAGGCACCAGATATAAAATATGTGCTCAGTCCCACATCCACAAACGCATACCGTTCCATTGTGCACAAATATATTCATAAATGCACTTAAATACTCAAAGACAGTCAATCACAGAATCACAGAACTGCTACATTGAGCATTTCACTTAGTTCAATTTTCCTGTCATCTCCCTGTAACATTGTACATTCTTCCTTTCAAAGTATTCAATTGCCTGTTGAAAGCCTCAATTGATCCTGCCTCCATCACACTCTCAGGCAGCACACTCACTCACTGCATGAACAAATTGTTCCTCATATCTCTCCTGTTTCTTTTATTTCAACCTCTGTCCCCTCATCCTCATTTATTCTGATGAAAAGTCACGAGACTCAAAACATTAACTCTACTTTCTTCCCACAGATGCTCCCAAACCTGCCGAGTTTCTCCAGTAGTTTTTGAAATAGATTTAGGCTACTCGGCCCATCCAACCTTCAACTCTACTTTCCTGCCTTTTCCCCTTGATTCTGTAACCGATTAAAAATCTGCTTATCTCAGCCTTGATTATACTTAATGACCCAGCCTTGACAGCCCTCTGTGGTAAAGAATTACTCTCTGAGAGAAGGAATTTCTATCATTAATTTAAATATTTAAAATCAATTTGGACATCATGTTGAGGTTGTACTGGATGTTGGTGAGGCCAGTTCTGGAGTACTGTATCCAGTTCTGATCACCGTGTTATAGGAAGGATATTATTAAACTGGAGAAGGTTCAGAAAAGATTTACCAGGATGCTGCCACGAATGGAGGATTTGTGTTATAAAAATAGGCTGGAACTTTTTTCACTTGAGTGTAGTAAGTTGAGGGGTGACCTTATTGAGGTTTATAAAATCATGAGAAACATAGATAAGGTGAATAACAAGGGTCTTTTCCATAGGGTGGGGGAGTTCAAAACTAGGGGACATGATTTTAAGGTGAGAGGAGAAAGATTTAAAAAGGACATGAGGGGCAACTTTTTACACAGAGAGTGGTTCGTGTTTGGAATGAACTGCCAGAGGAAAGTGACGGATGTAGGTACAGTTACAACATTTAAAAGACATTTGGATGAGTACATGAACAGGGAAGGTTTGGAAGGATATGGGTCAAATGCAGGCAAATGGGACTAGTTTAGGTTGGGAACGCAGTCGGTATGGACTGGTTGAACTGAAGGGTCCGTTTCTGTGCTTTATGACTCGAGGACTCTATGTTGTTCCTTGCATCACAGCTGTAATGAATGTTAAGAATTGTCACACAAACAATTCAACAAAATGTACTCTTGAACTTGTGAGAAGTACAAATTTAGTGACCCTGAAATCTTGTTGGGTCTTGAAGTGAGATAGGATTTGTAACCTTGAATCCCTGTCCCCCCTCACACTGCTGCATCTGAGGATTTACTGTATAGGTTTTACTGATGTGAGTTACCCCTGGAGTCACAGTTCAGCGAAGTGACTCCTTTAAACCAGAGATCATGTGAAGTGGCAGAAGTCATTACAATTGGCCTCAGTGTTGCTGGCGGAAGGAGGAAAGAGTGGTGTCACTGGTGTTCCTGATACTGAATGTTGTCACTGCTTGAAAGTTGTGCACAGATTTATTGACAGTCCTCCTATTCTGTGGAATAATCTCTCAATGTTCATAGTGTAGAAGATTGAGCGCCAATTATGGGAAGCATCGACAAACAGCTGGGTGCCTGTAGTTCAGGCTTTCAGGAATTATGGAAAGAATGAAGCACAGAAGGAGGCCATGCAGCCCATTGTTCCAGTACTGACTCGTTGAAAGTGCTATCTGTTCAGTGCCACTTCCCTACTTTTTCCTGACATATTGCCACTTCTTGTGTTCATCCAGTTCACTTTTGAAAGTTATAACAGAATCTGCTTCCACCTCCATTTCAGATAGTGTGTTCCAGATCACAACAATTTACTGCATCAGTTTCTCTCCTTAAAGTTCCTTTGCTTCTTTGCCAATCTCCTTCAATCTTTGCCCTTCTGGTTTTGATGTTTCTGCCAATGGGAAAAATCCTCCTTATTTAACTCAATCAAGCCCTTCATGACTTCAGCACTCCTATCAAATTTTCCCTTCAACATTTTTGTTTCTCCTAATGAATCTCCTCAATAATCTAGAAAGAATTTGGGGCCCCTTCTTATGTGTGGTGCCCAGAATTGGACACAGTATTCTAGCGAGGACTAAGCCAGATTCAGAGACAAGCAGAGGGTCAGATCTTGTTAACAGAAATGCCAAACACAACATCTTAAAAGATCTAGTTAATTACCATTTTCTACTAGCTGTTTTCCTGTTATAAAATTTTCACATTGAATTTTTCTCTTTGCTTTCTGTGAAAGCACCAAGGCTGTGACATTACACACTGATGGAGGGCTAAAGGTCAGATATTGTCAAGAGAGGAGCTAACCTGAATTAAAATAAATAGCCTCAAAGAGCTGAAAGGATTTTCAGGCAGTCATTAGACATTAATACACCAAGTACCCCACTGTCTCATGTCAAAGCCTGAAGCTGCTGATGCTTTGGAGACTGAGCATTAAAGGAGACAGGAATTTTGCACCAAAAACTTTAAATGAGTCAAGTGCAGATCAGTGACCTCAAGAGTTAATTACTAATGACAGTGAGGAAGTCTGAAAAAGAACTTAAACAAATGGGCCTGAGCATTAACCCTTTGAGAATTGGGAAGCATAGCTTAAGGTTTGCACTAACACTTTTTTTTCTATATCTTTCAGTCCACAAGACATTTCTGTAGAGAGTCAAGTCCTTTGTGAGCTCGATACCTATTTACAGCACTAACTGTTTAAAAGGTTATGATATCACAGCCTCTGTACAAACAGTCTGGCTTCTATACTTATTGATGTTACTGTACATTACACATCTATAGCTAACTGAGTGAAGGCACAACACTGACTCTGTAGCACTGAGAAAGTGACTACAGACAAATATGGCACCTTTAAAACAGGATGCCATGATGTCACATAACTGTGTTAAAGGGACAGGCCAGTTTCAGTGTCTGAAATCTAAGCCATAATATAACATATAATATCTTCATTCTCGATTGTTTATCCTTGTTCTCACTCTGTCTGATTGGGGGTGTGGATTTTAACTTGATATAAGAGAATGAGTTTTGTGAGAGGTTTTCTCTCTCTGTCTTTCTCTGTTTCTCTTTGTCTCCCTCTCTATCTGTCTGTCTCTGTCTTTCTATCTGTCATTCTCTCTGTCTCTGTCTCTGTCTTTCTCTTAGATATTCTCTCTATCCCTGTCTCTCTGCCTCTCCCTGTTTCTCTGGCTCTGTCTTTCTTTCTCTCTGTCTGTCTCTGTCATGGTTGCGCTGTGATTGTTCCCAATGGTCAGATTTTACACTTAACACAATCTTGCAATATTTTTGAGTGTCATACATTTTGCAGATATAAGATATGCACCTGTTAACTGTGTAGACAATTTGAGGGAGTGTGGAATTGATGTTTGGGTTGCTTTATATGGGAGAATTCTATCCAGTTAAGTTGTCTTTGTTTTCATATCTCTTAAATTTCGAAACATCCACATGTAAAATGGGAACTGTGGAATGTAAACTTGTCACACTGAAATTACAGCCTCTTGCCAGTAGTGATACTGCAGTGCCTCCACACAATAATGACAATGTGACATGTTTACATGGGTATTTCCCACTTTAAAGGTGAACATGGGAATTGTGCACAAAGTTCAGTTGTTTTTAATTAACTTACAAGCACAAGCTGTGACTGGGTTCCTCCATCATTTTGATATCATTTGTCTTGAGTTTCCAGAAAAATTGAAGGTGCAGGACTAACTTAATTGACATTCTTAATAATTCTAAAAGGTATTGATATGGTACAGTAATAGAGAGAATTTTTTTCCCACTATTGAGGAATCAAGAGTAGGGGTTTTTGTAGCCTAAAAGTGAGAGTCACACCACACAGGAGAGGAAATGGGAAAAAAATCTTCACACAAAGCATGGTGGAAGTCTGGAAGTTCCTATCACGACAATAACCAATATTAATTCAGTGAATCATTGGAAAAGTATGGTTGATAGTTTTATGTTAGATGGAGAATTAAGGGACATGAAGCCAAAACAGATAAATAGAGTCAAGGAACAAATGAACCATGCCTTTTAAGGGTGAGACCACGTCTCCAAAATTGTGCTCAGTTTCAGCGTTCTTATTGAAGCAAGGATGTAAATTCATTAGAGATGGTTAAGAGCATGTTTACTAGATAGATATTTAAAGTTTTGGCACAGATAGATATCTGGAATGAGTGGGTTGTTTTATGAGGAGAGGTTGGACAAACTGGGTTTGTTTCCACTGGAGTTCAGGAGAGTGAGGGGGGACTTGACTGAAGTGTATCAGATCCTGAATGGTCTTAACAAGGTGGACAAGGAAAGGATGTTTCCTCTTGTGGGTGAATAGTTAAAGATTAAGGGCCTCCCATTTAAGTCAGAGATGAGGATTTTTATTTTCCTTGATGGTTGTGTGACTCTGCATCAGAAAGTACTGGTGGTAGAGTCATTGAATAATTTTAAGGTGGAGATAGATTCTTTTCGGCAAAGGAGTCAGAGGATCTCGGGGGAAGATGGGAAGGACAAGTTAATAGAATGTTATTAAACAGTGGAACAGACTTGAGGAGGTGAATAGCCTCCTGCTCTGTGCCTTGATTAATCCCATTCATGCTGAGGGATAGAGTCATGGAGTCATGTAGCACAGAAACAGAGCCTTTAGCCCAATGCTGCACTAAAATTCTGTTCCTCCTTATGCAATGTTTAGATTCCCCGAAGAACCTGCAGTACTTGGAAAGGAAACGGGAAAAGTGGGAAAAGAAGAAACAGCGAAGGAGACGCATCAAACAGCGCTCAATCAGCAAGGAGAAGTGGGTGGAGACTCTGGTGGTGGCGGATTCTAAAATGGTGGAGCACCACGGCAGTGAGAACATTGAAGCATATGTCCTCACTGTGATGAACATGGTGAGCAACTCATATTTATTCAACTCATCCATTTTAGTGGAGCATTTGAAATCACTTTAGAAAATCCTTTCATTTTAGCAACTGTTTTGTGCCAGTCCCAGGTGCTAGTTTTAGTGATGAGAATTGAAAGATATTTTTCTCTTCGCCTCTGTCCGCACTGCAGGGATTCTATATTCTAAAGCTTCCACAAACAGCAATCAATCCCCAGATAATTTGTTTTAATGATATAGCTTATGAGCTAAGTATTCTGTAGGATTCCCCTGATCCACTTTGAATTGTGCCAAGCGATATTTTTACATTATCTGAGAGGGCAAACAAGGGCTGGTTTTAACAGGTCACTCTGAAAGCTGTGCCCCACTATACTGCAGTAATCCCTCTATACTGCATTTGGAATATCAGCCTGGATTACAGATTCCAGTCACAGGAGTAGGAACTGAATCAATAGCCTTCTGGCTCTCAGTTGAGGACGCTACCAACTGAGTTACACCAAATTTCTATTCTGAGATTGGAAATTGAATAACGTTTATCTTTTCTCATCACTTGGAAATCAAAACCCTAATATTAGCTGTCATAAATTTATTAAGAAACATTCAAACTCATGAACTCAGTCCCACAAGCTTTGGGCAGCTGAGTGCTGCTGTGACAGCGTATAATAATTCAGGAGATATTTGCAACAAAAGCAATTTAAAGCATCAACCGGTCATTTTGGGATTTATGGCCCACACAAGATGTTTGGCTTATTGCTGAGTTATCGGTTTTCTAATGAAAGTTAGTTCAGTCAAGAGAGAGCTAAAAGAAAGACCGTGAGGAAAGCTGCCCTGCTCCTCGGTACAGTCTGACAGTATCTCCCACATCTACCTGAGATGGCTTCTGTTTAAAGTCTCTTCCAAAACACGATCCTACAACAGTGTGGCACACCCTCAGTGGGAACATCAGCCTGGATTTTGTGTACAACTCTCCGCAACCTTCTGTTTGAGAGCTTAGAGTTCTGCCAAATGAACGACGACCGATACCAAAGGCTAATTTGGCAGTTTTGGGTTAAAGTGTTAATTGATTATCTGGTCATCATCACATTGCTGTTGGTGGGAGCTGGCTATGTGTAAATTGGTTGCTAATTTTCCCATGTTACAACAGTGATAACATTTCAAAAGTATTTTGTGGAGGACTTTGAACTGCCCTTAGGACATGAAAGAGGCAAACTAAAGACAGGATTTTCTTTGCCCACTGGCAGAATGAAGCATTGCTAGGGAACAGATACAGAGTAAGGCTCCCTGTACCTTATTCCCAAAAAAGGGCCCATCTGCATGTTTGGAAGAGCAGTGACTATGTATCAATGTATGAGCTCCGTTTTATAGCGACCAGCTCTCCTATCTTGATTCTATTGATGCTGATCCCAATCCTTTCCCATGTGCCATTCCTCACCTGTGAGCCTTGACAGTGAGTGTTTCCAGGACATTCTGCCATGAGTGGCAGCACTGGTCTTGTCCTTTACTGATGTTCCAGCAATGTGCAGCTCCCAGCATTAATGTTCCCCATCACTGCCCTCGAATGAGAATCGCAAACTGGTTGTTTGAACAACTGGCACTCAGGAAAGCTTTCACCTTGGAAGGAAACCATTCAACCCATTAAGTTTGTGTTGGCTGTTTGAAAGATGTATCCAATAACTTCACTCACCAGTTCTTTACCCTACATCAAAATGTTTGTTTTCAATGTTTATTCAATTCCCCATCAAAAGTCACCATCGCACTTCCTTCCACAATGCATTCAAGATTCCAACAACTTGCATGAGGAAAATGCATTCTCTTTAGCTCCCCTGTGTTTTTTCGGCCACTTATCCTGACTCTATGTCTGCTACTTACTGATACTTCTGCTGCTAAAAACTTTCTCCTTACTTAACACCATCAACAACCCCTTGTAATTTGGAATGCCTCCACAAAATTTCCCCTGAACCTTCACTTCTCTAAGTACAACTTCTCTGTCTAAGGAACTGGAATTCCTTTTCCATGGTATCATTGCAATAAATGATATTCTGTGGGCAGCACAGTGGCACAGTGGTACAGTGGTTAGTACTGCTGCCTCACAGCGCCAGGGACCTGGGTTCAATGCCGCCCTCAGGTGACTGACTGTGTAGAGTTTCAGAATCTCCCCGTGTCTGTGTGGGTTTCCTCTGGGTGCTCTGGTTTCCTCCCACAGTCCAAAGATGTGCAGGTGAGGTGGATTAGCCGTGCTAAATTGCCCCATAGTGTCCAGGAATGCGCAGGCTAGGTGGGTTAGCCATGGATAATGCAGGGATGTGGTGGTTCTGGGTTGGATGCTGTTCAGGGGGTCGCTGTGACTTGCTGGGCTGAATGGCCTGCTTCCACACTGTAGGGATTGTATGATTCTAAATCTCTTCCACGCCATCTCCAAGTTGAGGAATCAACATTGAAAAGTCCCAAATTAAAGCTGAACTCTGAGCAATGGACTATCCCAACAAAACCAACTAATACTTTGTCAGCCGTCTTTGTCGCAAAGCCGGACAAATATCTCAGAAGGAATAGTTTTGAAGGATAAATAAAGCCAGAGGCGATCAAATATTCTAGGAAACCAGATGTTTCCTGTTGTTTTGAGAACAGATAAATCAGCAGTCTGAGTTCGAGTACAGAGATGGTCAGAGTGAGGGTAGATATTTGGCAATTGACATGACTGATTTTGAGGATCTTTGTTATTCCATCTCTCAGGGAACTGAGGAGTGAGATTGCCTGTGCGAAGGGTCCAAGTGAAGCTTAAGTGTTGAATGTACCTGTACTTTTATCCAGATAATGAAACTTAAGTACCACTTAATGACAGTGTCACCTGCAATTGTGGAAAATGTAACATCAAAATCGCCGTTTGCCTTCCATTGGCTCCACCCCAATCTGCCGATTGGCTGCTCCCATCCCAACGCCCAAGAAAATGGGAATTCTGATGAGGCCGTGCAAAGTTTACCATCCAACAGGGATGGAACTTGAAACTCAACTCTCTTAGATCAGTTAGCTCAGTTGGCTGGATAGCTGGATGACAATGCAGAGTGATGCTAATATTGTGGGTTCAGTTACTGCACTGTCTAAGGCTATTATGAAGGACGTGTCTTCTCAACCTCTCCCCTCACCTGAGATGCAGTCACCCTCAGGTTAGCCACCCCCAGCCCCTCTCTCTCTCATGAGAAAGCAACTCTATGGCACTTTACTTTTGTAGAAACACTACATGTTCCTGCTTACTCCTCTCACCAGCTCAATATCTACATTTCTTTCTGCAGGTCGCAGGCTTATTCCGTGATGCCAGTATCGGGAACTCTGTGAACATTGTCATTGTCCGTCTTGTGCTATTGGAGGAAGATGAGGTGAGTAACAACATTGGATTGAATTGGGAGGACAGTTCCCAGAATTGTTCCAGTACAGATGGAGGCCATTCATCCCATCATGACTGCACCAACTCTCCAAATGTGCCATTCCCGGCCTTCTTCCTAAAACCATATAATTTAATCCTTTTCAAATAACTATCCAATTTCCTTTTGTCTTGTTCTATTGAACCTGCAGTCTCAGGCAGTGTACTCCAGACCTCATCCTCATTGTGTAAAAAAAGATTTTCCTCTTTTCATTTTTGGTTCTTTTACTAATTACTCAAAATCTGTGGCCTCTCATTTCTGATCTTTTCTGAATGAGAACACTTAATCCCTATTTACCATGTCCATACCCCTCATGGTTTCAAATATGTTAATCGGATCTCTTCTCAAAAGCAAACACTTCCAATTTCACCAATCTATTTTCAGACCTAAATTTCCTCATCCTGGGACTGGTTCTTGTGATTCTTTCCTGTGTCCATTTCAATGCAGGGTCAATGGGCTGAGGAGTGGCAGATGGAGTTTAATTTGGATAAATGTGAGGTATTGCATTTTGGTAAAACAAACAAATGCAGGACTTATACAATTAATTGTAGGGCCCTGGGTAGTGTTGTAGAACAGAGTCAACTAGGGGTTCAGGTACATAATTCTTTGAAATTTGTATCACAAATAGAGAGGGTGGTTAAGAAGGTGTTTAGCACGCTTGCCTTCATTACTCAGACCTTTAAGGTTAGGATTTGGGACGTCATTTTGAAGTTGTACAGGACGTTGGTGAGGCCTCTTCTGGAGTACTGTGTGCAGTTCTGGTCGCCCTGTTATGGGAAGGGTATTAATAAATTGGAGAGGGCTCAGAAAAGATTTACCAGGATGTTGCTGGGAATGGAGGGTTTGAGTTGTAAGGAGAGATTGGATAGGCTGGGACTTTTTTCACTGGAGCATAGGAGGTTGAGGAGTGAATTTACAGAGGTTTCTATAATCGTGAGAAACATAGATAAGGTGAATAGCCAAGGTCTTTTCCCTAGGGTGGGAGTTCAAATCTAGGGGCCATATTTTTAAGGTGAGAGGAGAAAATTTTTAAAAAGGACTTGAGGGGCAACTTTTTTACACAGAGAGTGGTTCGTGTATGGAATGAACTTCCAGAGAAAGTGGTGGATACAGGTACAGTTACAACATTTAAAAGGCATTTGGATGAGTACGTGAATAGGAAAGGTTTAGAGGGATATGGGCCAAACGCAGGCAAGTGGGACTAGTTTAGTTTGGGAAACTTGGTCGACATGGACTGGTTGGACCAAAGGGTCTGTTTCTTTCCTGTCTGACTCAATGACTCAATGCCTTCACATCCTTCCTAAAGTGCACACCCAGAACTGGACATAATCCTCCAGCTGAGGGTGACTCATTGTTTTATACTAGTTCACTATAACCTCCAAAGACAAATAGAGAGAGTGCTGGAGAAACTCGGCAGGTTTGGCAGCATCTGTGTAAAAAGAAATAGTGTTAACATCTCAAGTTGGATATGAAAGATTCTGAAGAAGTCATACTGACTCGAAATGTTGAATCTGTTTCCCTCTCCACAGATACCATCAAAGCTGCTGAGTTTCTCCAGCATTCTCTGTGTTTGTTTCAGATTTCTATTACCTGCGGTATTTTGCTTTTGTTAAGGGAATTGTCGAGTTTGTCTTTAATTATGCAGCTCAACCGAAACGTCAGACAATCACCATTGGCATCATGTTGCATGAGCTCACGTACCAACATGTGGTTGGGTAGATTGCTGTCATCATTCTCTTGTTCTGACTAGGTCTGCAGGATCTTTTTGGTCTAGAGAAAATTCATTCTTAAACAAGATGTTGTTTATAGCACAATGGTATCCGGTGCAAGATAAAAGAGTAACTTTGTCTGTCCAAAGCAGCCTGTTTGGTTGGCACCTCATCTAGCACTTCCAGCATTCACTCCCTCCACCACCAAAGCTCAGTCACAGCAGTGTGTGCCATCTACAAGATGCATTGCAGAAATGCACCAAGTCTCCTTCGACAGCAACTTTACACCCGCTTCTCTACCCCCTGAAAGGACAAGGGCAGCTGATGAACACCACTGCTTGCAAGGCCCCCTCCAAGCTGAACACCGTCCTGACTTACACAAGAACATAAAGGAAAGGAACAAGAGTAGGCCATTTGGCCCGTCAAGCCTGCCCTACCATTTAACCAGATCATGGCTGATCTGCCCCAGACTTCAATTATTCTTTAATGCCAGTTCCTCATAGCTTTCAGGTCTGTGATATTTCAAGAATCTATCTACTCTCTCTTTAAATACTTTCAGTGATCTCGGCTTCCAACTCTCTAGGGTAAAAAATTTCAGATGTTCGCTACCTTCTGGCAGAAGAATTTCCTTAGCCTCTCAGTTTTAAATGAATGCCCCCTTAAGAACTTTATCAGCCATTCCTTCACTGTCAGTGGGTTAAAAATCCTGGAATACCCTCCCTAAGGGCATTTTGGGACTACCTACAACACATGAACTGCAATGGTTCAATAAAGCAGCTCACCACCACTTTCTCAAGGGTAACTAGGGATGGGCAATAAATACTGGTCCAGCCAGCAACACCCATGTACCATGAGTGAGTAACATAAATAGCTAAGATAGACATCATTAAAGGTTTTGAGGAGGCCCAGACGACAGACAAGACTGTCTTTCTCGAGATTAGAAGTTATTCTGCCTTTTCCCAAACAAGTCCACATGACATTATCAGTTTGGGTGGAGTTTAATGCAGTCTTCAACATTAACCCCTTCAGAAACATTATGTTATGCAACAGAGGTTCTGATGAAAGGTTATTGATCTTGAGGAATTGAGGGTGATTTTAATCTAACCATTCTGGCAGAATTTTGGTGTAATTGCTGTTTTATTCCCATCCAATATTAACCTCAATGAAGGGTAAAAATCACTCAGGGTGTGAAGCCACATTGCTCCTGATCTTGTCAGTATCCTTACAGCAATTCACAGAACTCTCACTGACCTACACTGGCTCCTAGTCAAGCAGAACATCAGTTTTAAAGTTCTTTTCCTTGCTTTCAGATCCCTCTATGACTTCCCTTCTGCCTTCTCTGTAACATCCTGTAGCCCTTTAGCCTTCCATGATCTATGCACTCCTCCAACTTCGGCTTCTTGCACATTCCAGGTTTTTCTGCACCAGTGGCGGCCAGGCCTTGAGTTGCCTACTAACATACTGGAGGCAGGTTCAATTGACGCATTCAAGAGGTCAGTGAATGATTATTAGAATAAAAATAATGCACAAGGGTATTGGGGGAAAAGCAGGAAATTAGCACCAGGTAATGGCGCTTGTTTGAGGAGGGAGTGCAGACACAATGGACTGAATGGCCTCTTTCTGCATCGTATTCTGTGATTCAATGATTCTGTCTGGACCTGAAGCTCTGCAATGACCTCACTTCACCTCTTCCTCCTTTGGGTCACTCCTTAAAACTCTGGCTTTGACCGATAGTTGGTCATCAGTCCAGATATCTGTTAATGTGGCGTAGAGACAAATGTTGTTTATTAAAACTCCTGTGAGTCATCTTCAGATGTTTCCCCATCCAAAAGCTGTGGTATCAATGGAAACAGGTCCTTTGTGTTTGTCGCAAACATTTGAGGCTCTTTGTTCACCCTTATTATAAGGCTAGACATTCAAAGGAGACTGTTCATTCAGTTTCGCTTTTCTCCTCTTCAAATTAATATGAAAACACTTGGATATTGAAGATAAAAGTGTCATGTCAGCAAACAGGAGGCAAAGGCCAATAGTTTCTAAAGCTTTGTTGGAGAGAGTTCAGTATCACTTCAAAGTGAAGTCTCAAGGGCCTTTGTCAATTGTTGCAATTTCTCTCAGAGATTGTCATATATTCGATGAATTCTGTCTCTAGGGCACAGCAAGTATCATAGTCAGTTTAATGGGTTCGTTGTTGTCTAGCTGCCATTGCTACTGGGGCTTCAGGGAGGTCACACAACTGTACGCTACTGAGCGTGATTCTCCAGAAACACTTAGCTGGGGTGCCCCATGTCACCGAGCCACACTGACTCGCACAGGTAGTCTGTAAGGAAGATGTTCTGATCCTCCTGGATCCTGTGTAAGTCCTAACACCAACCAGCAACCCCCACTGCTTGCACCTCCCGCACCCTCACCCAGCTCCCCACTCTCTCCTCAGGGACCCCAGTAAATACCGATGCACAGCCGAGAGGAGGGGTTTGTCAATCCTGGGTCATATTGCAGGGATCCATGATATAAACTTGTTTCCTGTATCCACTGTTACTCTCCCAGCAATGGCCTGTAACTTCCAGATTATAGTAACACATTTCTTTGAAACATGTTTTCCTTATCTCCTTTCTGGATCTTTTGCCAAATGATTTAAATTTGTTTGCCCTGGCTGCTGACCCTGCAGCCTGTAGAAATAATTTCTCCTTTGAAACTCTCATTAAAATCCCTCCTGATGTTCAACACGTCCAATAAATATCCCCTTAACATTCTATGCTCGAAGAACAAATCCAGATTTTCCAGTCTCTTGAGGCAGAGTGACATTCAGAAATGGATGTAACACTGATCCTGGAATCGATTGGGTTTGAAGTCTCAGTGGTCTTGTCACATTTGGACATTAAAGCTTTTTAATTCCTGTCTCAGGAGGACCTCAAGATAACGCATCATGCTGACAACACGCTGATGAACTTCTGCAAATGGCAAAAGAAAATCAACACAAAGGGAGATAATCACCCCATCCACCATGATGTAGCTCTTCTGCTGACACGGTAAGGAGGTAGAGTTTGATTTGCAGTGAACCGCACTGACAATTACACTCACTTTCCTTGTCTATCTGCCTTTCCAACTGTGACCGGGTGTGATCTGTTGAGTTGTCACCCGTGCAGATTTTTTTACATTGTCTGGAACCTGCCCTGCAGATTATATTTCACACAAATCTCCATTCATTGCACTTTTCTCTTCTTCCTCCTGTTCTGAATTTCAAGAGCAAAAATCCTTGATAGTGTCATAACATTTTCTTCCAGGTGTTAGTTAGCAGTGGGAGAACGCTGAATAAAATAAATAATATCAAGAAGAACCTGCGATGCCGAATGAGATTTAATCCCAACACGGGAAATATTCCCTGAAGAGTACATGAGCCAGTTAAATTTCACACTGTGGTTGCTGCTGAGTGACCCTGGCTCAGGGATTGATTTCTGCCACTGAGATTAAACTGTTGCTTCTGAACCACACTCCAGTCATCCATAGCGAATGGACTAGAGCATTAGCCTGGAATACTGGATCCAGGTCTATCCATCTCCATGAATCCGATGGGTTTAATTACTCTGTCACTTCCTTCATCCGCATGTTCCAGTCCCTCCCTATCTCTTTATAACCTCCACCCATGTCAACACTACATGTTACAGTCCAGAAAGGCAAGTGATGAAGGATAACTGATGGTGCAGTGATGCTGCCACTGGACCAGTAATCTAGAAAGGACGGCTAATGTTCTGGGAACATGGGTTCAAATCCCACAGGAATAGGTGGTGAGACTTGAATTCATTTTAAAACATGTAATGGGTGAAGGGCAAAAAATTAAGTAGCCTGTCATCGGCTGTAAAATCCTAACTGTTTCACTAATGCCCTTCAGGGACGTAAATCTGCTCTCTTTAGCTGGGCTGACCTACATTTGACTCCAGACTCACAGCAACATAGTTCACTCTTGGCAATGGGCAATGAACAGAGAAATAGATAGAATCCCTACAGTGTGGAAATAGGCCCTTCAGCCCAACAAGTCCACACCGACCCTCAAAGCATCCCACCCAGACCCATCCCCCTATAACCCACCTAACCTACACATCCCTGAACACTGCGGGCAAACTAGCATGGCCAATCCACCTAACCTGCACATCTTTGGACTGTGGGAGGAAACCGGAGCACCCGGAGGAAACTTGTGCAGACACGGGGAGAATGTGCAAACTCCACACAGATAGTTGCCCGAGGCTGGAATCAAACCCTGGTTCCTGGTGCTGTGAGGCAACTGTGCGAACCACTGACGCTGGCCTAATCAACAATATGTACATCCCAAGGATGAATTAAAAAAAACACTGATAGAGCAATTGGCACATTTGTAGATGGCCCTTGATTCCTGTGGTGCAGTGATAATGTCCCTACCTCTGGACCAGTAGACCCAGGTTCAAGACTCAGCTGCTCCAGAATACATTTGAACAGGTTTATTAGAAAACATGTCACCTTTCAGTGCTGGGCTGCTTGAGTTTTGTTGATATTGTGGGTGTAACAGGAATTATTCAGCATCAACATCAGTATTGTTCTCTCAACAAATTCAGCATCGATTTCCAAGAATTTGTCTAGAATTCCAGAAACAGATTATTAAAGCCTTGGGCAGGCGGCAACACTTCAATGCACAATCCATTTTAATCATTTATTCAACAACCCAATCCTAACAAGAAATCTTGAGGCTAAGGATAAATTGTACGCATAAAATTTGATTAGGTGTCTAAATCATCGCGCTCTCTCAAAATACACTTGACAGAATTTGCATCATATTTCAACTATTCAGCGTTAAAAATAAAATTGCTTTGATTCAGAACACAATGCAGAAGAAGTTTCATTAATATATGCTGAGCTTTAGCAAAACAGGAGTTCTATTAAACTGGGAGTGATGAGTGAAAGTCAAAACCATGGGAATTTTGTCCTGCGGGAGTTAATGGGAAAGGGTTGATCCACTGGATTTATTGACTAGGTAATTAATTAATACCTGCAGCAGATGATGAGAATATATAGAAAGCTAAGAGTGTTATTTTTGAGAGGTTTTATCACTTTCTTATTTCTGCGTTCCAATAATCTGCTGGGACATTATAGCCAACAGAAACATCACATAGAGCACGCCTTATGTAGAAATATGCCCTGAAGCACTTTTTAGAGAGGATTTTTGAAACAGGAATAAGTAAAGATGCCGGCTGAAGTTAGTTTAAATCATAGGGTGTTAAGAGTTTCTTGGAAGATTGGAAGGGCAGCGAGGTGAACTGAGTTTGGAAGATTAGAAGGGCAGGGAGTGGACTGAATTTGGAAGGTTGGAAGGGCGGGGAGGTGGACCGAGTTTGGAAGATTGGAAGGTGAACTGAGTTTGGAAAATTGGAAGGGCAGCGAGGTGGACTGAGTTTAGGAGTGAGAATGGGAGCGATAAATACAAACAAATTACAGGCTAGGAATCCTGCAGCAAGTAACTCACCTTCTGTCTCCCCAAAGCCTGCCAACCAGGCACAAGTCAGGAGTGAGATGGAATACTCCCCACGTGCTGGATGGGAGCAGCTCCAACAACACTCAAGAAGTTCAACACCATCCAGGACGAAGCAGCCGACTTGATTTGCACCACGTCCATCATCTTCACCATTCACTCCTTTCTGTTTTGATGCAGAATGGCCACAATGTGTACCATCTACAAAAATGAACTGCAGTAACTCACCAAGGCTCCTTAGACAGCATCTTCCAAACCCATGACCATTGCCATCTAGAAAGGCAAGGATAGTCAATATATGGGACCATCATCATCTGCAAATTCCCCTCCAAGCCACTCACAATCCTGACTTGGAAATACATCACCATTCCTTCAGTGTCACTGAGTCAAAATCCTGGAACTCCCTTCCTAACAATTCTATAGGCCTCTGTACAACACAAGGACTGTTTAAAATTATTTATTCGTTGGATGTGGACATTGTTGGCTAGGCCAACATAATTGCCCATCCCTAATTGTCCAGATGGCAGTTAACATTCAACCACATTGCTGTTGGTCTGGAATCACATGTCAGCCAGACCAGGTAAGGATGGCAGTTTCCTTCTCTAAAGGGTATAAATGGACTAGATAGGGCTTTTATGACAATCAGTAGTGGTTACAGGATCATCAGTAGGTTCACTTTTTGTCCAGATCTTTATTGTATTCTGACTTCACCATTTGCCATGTGAGATTTGAACTCATGACCCCAGAACATTAACCTGGGGTTCTGGATTACTAGACAGTGATTCAAAGTGGCAGCTCACCCAGCTTTTCAAGGGCATCTGGGGATGGACATTAACTTCTGGCCCATCCAGTGATGCCCACATCTCATAAACAAATAATAAAACTAATCCCTTTGGTAACTCACTGGTGTCCGCCCTTGTCAAACAACTCTCTGATGCTGCGAATGTGCCTCTTTCCCAATGATTGCAACAACTCCGAGCTCACGTAGTGAAGGTTATGGAGATGAATTGTGGAATTTATTTGCATTGTAGAATTATTATTTAATTTTTTAAACGTTAGAAATGGTTTTTGGTTTTATTGCATTCTGCCGTAGGTGACACAAATTGAGCAGAATGAGTGTCCAGTGTACACTGTGATCATGTTACTGTGAGAATTGGTTTGTGAGTGTTCCTGGGAGTTGATAACCTGTTCCTGGGTACAGTTCAAGGAGGGTTCTGAGGAAGGGTCACCAGACCCCAGCAACCTCTGTTCTTGTTACAGTTCAGGGAGGCCTTGCTGGTGGGTACTGGTGACCTGCTGTTCAGTTGTTGACAGGATTGGAGATGAGGGTTGGTGGGATGGTTTGGATGCAAAATGGGAGATTCCTTTTCTTACTGAATCTATTGTTGAGTCACTTCACCTCTGAGCTTCCGCAGTGCTCACCCCCAAGAGTAGCGTGGTTTCCAATGTTGTTTCTCTTGTGTTAACAAGGAAGGATATCTGCGCTGGAATGAACCGTCCATGTGAGACCCTGGGATTGTCACATGTTTCCGGGATGTGTCAACCCCACAGGAGCTGCAGCATCAATGAGGACTCGGGACTCCCACTCGCGTTCACCATTGCACATGAGATCGGGCATAAGTAAGTCTGGTACCGCTCTCTCGTAGCTCACGTCTTGCTATTCACAGCAGCGTGAGATCAGGAGGCTGCACGCTGAGGTCAGTTCAAGAGTGAATCATGGCTCAGTTGTTCATGTTAAACAAAATAAAAACCGAAAGAACTGCAAATGCTGTAAATCAGGAACAAAAACAGAAATTGCTGGAAAAACTCAGCAGGTCTGGCAGCATCTGTGAAGAAAAAATCAGAGTTAATGCTTCAGAACTGAAACATTAACTCTGATCTTTTTCTTCACAGCTGCAGCCAGACATGCTGAGCTTTTCCAGCAACTTCTGTTTTAAACCTTGGACAGTCAGCTAATGAAGGAGGAGATTGACAGTCAAACTGACCCTACCCTCAGTCACAAAGTAAACATCACAAATAGCTCCTTAATTTTACAACCCTCCTATTAGTGTCCTTAAGTGTCTCTAAAAGTTATTTCTTTTTAATCAACATGTTATGACACAACTCTGGGGTAGTAGGACCTGAACCCAGACCTTCTGGTCTAGAGGTAGCAACATTACTGCTGCACATGGGTCCCAGTAAGTGCCTCAATATGTGCATAGTAATTTTTCAGAGATGTTATTACAAACCTCTAG